GTTATCCCCATCCCTGTCCCTGTCCTGCAACCCCTGTTATCCCCATCCCCATCCCTGTCCTGCAACCCCTGTTATCCCCATCCCCATCCCTGTCCTGCAACCCCTGTTATCCCCATCCCCATCCCTGTCCTGCAACCCCTGTTATCCCCATCGCCATCCCTGTCCTGCAACCCCTGTTATCCCCATCCCTGTCCTGCAACCCCTGTTATCTCCATCCCTGTCCTGCAGCCCTCAGGCTCCTCATCCTCAGCAAACCTCTCAGCCCTGGACAAACTCCAGCAAATTGCCCTAAATCTCTTTTTCCTTCCTTTCCCATTTCCATCCCATCCACTCCCACTTGGTGGAAACTCCCCAGGGAGGAAATAGGTTTGGGGAAAAGAGAAACCCACCCAAACCTCAGCCTGGAAACTCATTCTCCCCATGCCCTGGGTGCCCTCAGCATCCCAACACACACTCACCATGCTGACTGGTGTTACTGGTGCTCTCCCAGACTAGCAGCTCCCGCTCCTCCAGCCCTGGCTCCTCTCCACTCCCACTGTCAGCATCCAGCAGTGGGGACACCCCTGTCCCTCCCGGCTCAGCTGCCACAGAGGGCTCAAAGAGCAGCCCCAAGGACTCAGATGTCTCCAGCACCCACGGGTGGGGGGCAGTGGGTGATGGCCAGGGGCTGTGGGTGGCCGAGCTGGGGGACACAGAGGGTTCTTCCCTCTTCACCTCACCCGATGCATCTTCCTCTCTGGGGGTTGTTGGTGCATCCTCTTTGCTGGGGGAAGTTGGAGCATCCTCCTCACTGGGGGATGTTGGTATATCCTCCTCGCTGGGGGATGTTGGTATATCCTTCTCGTTGGGGGATGTTGGAGCATCCTCCTCACTGGGGGATGTTGGAGCATCCTCCTCACTAGGGGATGTTGGAGCATCCTCCTCGTTGGGGGATGTTGGAGCATCCTCCTCATTGGGGGATGATGGCACATCCTCCTCGCTGGGTGATGCTGGAGCATCCTCCTCGCTGGGGGATGTTGGTACATCCTCCTCGTTGGGGGATGTTGGTACATCCTCTTCGCTGGGAATCCTCCTCGCTGGGGGATGTTGGGGGGATGCTGGTACATCCTCCTCGTTGGGGGATGTGGGAGCATCCTCCTCACTGGGAGATGTTGGTACATCCTCCTCGCTGGGGGATGTTGGTGCATCCTCCTCGCTGGGGACAGCTGGGGGGCTCAGGGTGGCAAGAGGCTGCTCAGAGCCCACGAGGGACAGGAGGAGCTGCTCTGCTGCCCCCAGCTCTGGCCCAGAGTGGCTGGTGGGCTGTGGGACTGCCGGGGCAAAGCCTGTGGACCCCTCCTCGGCCACTGACTCCAGCACTGCTGCCTCCACGGGCTGCTCAGTGCTGGCCCACGGGGTCACCTCGGTGCCCACGGGGAGAGGTGATGGGGAGGGGATGTGCCACACCACAGTGGACATCGATGCTGCACTGCTGGGCTCAGCTGAGCCATTCCCAGCATCCCTGGATTCATCCAGCTGCTCCTGGCTGGGCTCAGCTGGTGGATCAGGGGGAGCTGTGGGGCTCAGTGCCCCGTGGGGCTGGGGAACAGCCCCCTCAG